GRCCAACAAACCGGCTGCACGGCTCCCAGTGCCCGCGTCGACTTGTTTATATYATGCCATAATTGCCCCRCGCRCCAWCCTACGACATCYTGCTMACCGTACAAAATCGCGYCCTTATTACCGATGCCGTATTTGGTTTYYCCCCCCCGCACGCGCGCTCGCCTTAATCAAGCGTACCAATCAACCGAAAATATCCCTGTTTCCTGCTTAATCAAATATAAGTAGATATTAATAATATTATTAAACAAACGACCAATGATCAACARCAGAAAAGAATCACGCGTGCCTTAAACCTGCGCGCCCACACACTCTCTACTCTAGTCAAGCATCCTATCAACGTAAAATACAGACGCAGCCSTGCYTAGCGCGGTATACCTAAACTATAGATTAAAACCATTTTTTCTGTCACTTGCAAAAACCAGGGCGGATACCCTTGTCAGGGTATTCGCACCGACAGCTTACCAGACCATATTAAGCGACGTCCCCGTCGCTTCGCCAAATCAGAAAGCTATAAATCCATCCACATTTCAAATGCTGACGAAACAAGAGCTTATCCGATTAGCCGACAAAACACAGGGTAGAGGCCTCCATCAAACCATACCTTCACAACTATATGCTGCCAGGTTTCTAACCTGGGCCTCACACCGTCCATAAATTATGATACTAGCAGCATAAGTTTCAAAAACCTTCCCAATCGTCTTCTCCCCGGTCCTAGACAACCTTCGGCTTTTCGTTGGGTGTCCCTAGTGCTGGCAAAAACTAGGGACGCGGGCCTTAATCGAGACCTTTTGAAGGCACTCTCGCCTTCCTTCTCAAAAATTTCTCGCAATCAAATACACGCAAGTATATATGTATACTTAATATTCGCTCAGCTCTTCCTGCAGTCTAGTACAGAAAGGCTAGGTCTCCACCTTGGCCCACCATAGCCTGGCTGATCGGACCAGGACCACGGCCCACCGCATTGTTATTTAACGGCAGTACCTTCGTTGGTTACGCAACGATAGGTTACTTACTGGTAAACACTCAATCACGATTTCCCCCAAAAGTTTTCAACCATTATTATCCCGCGGAGTAATTTCACTGGGGCGGGCAACCCCCTTTAAACTCTTACCCCGCGGTCCCGCAGCCAGGTTGCGCCGGCTAGCAGCCATCCAATGGGGTTACGCCCTAGAGGTACTAACTTCTTTTGCGTTAGCTTGGCCTTCCTTCAATATGTCCCAGAACTAGCACAGGTGGTAAGGCGGGGCGTCGCAAAACAAAATCACTGGCCCACTGCGTGATCACGCAGGGGTCTGAAGGCAGTTACCAGCCCTTCCACAATAGGCTTGGTATCCTTCGCACGCTCACAAACAAAATCACCGCTAGGTCCACCAGGCCGTGACTCCTGACTTGATCAGAGCAAGCAGCAACCCATTCTGAGACATCTCTTGCCCTGCACTCACTGCGACTTTCTCAAGCATTCTAAACAAAAGTGACTCTTTTCGTCAGACTTTATCACCCATCAAACAACTCATCATGCCATAAATCAATTTACTCACTTCTGAGGGTGAGTCTTCCAACCAAAAACCAGTCCCCCTTTCCAACAATCCAAAAGGGGCTCTCTTCATAAAAAAACACCTCCCCCTTTTCCAAAAAATCGCGAGGGGTCTCGCCATAAAACAATACATTCCCTCTTCCAGAAATCACGAGGGTCTCACCATAAACCAAACACCCCCTCTCTCATAGTCACGAGGGGTTTCGTTACATCACAAAACATCATAAAACATCCCCCCCTTTCCCAAAATCTAAGAGGGTCCCATCATAAAACGAAACATCACTGAGAGACCATCTTATGGGTCCTCATCACAACTTAGATAACTTTCACAGACAGACTGCGCTTCCTCCTCTTATACTCTGCCTTATCAGCTGCCGTGGGCAGGTCGCACAAGTATACTGAGGAGTAGACAGTTTTACTTACAATCATACTCACAGTACCTATAATACACCAGATGTTTTTCACACATCGTCCACACAAACTCATCATACATCAGAGTACAGTCACATATGTGAGAGTGACAAGTGATCGTCACATATAAGAATGGTCAAAAACCTCATCATAATATATGCTTAAGAAAATAAAATCAATCATARCTCACTCAACTCAAGTCACACCAAGCTTACATTAATAACTGCCCCTAGAATACATGTCCGATCTGTGTCTCAAAGGCCAGGGCGTAGGCTACCTAAATATGTACATGCYTCATCTAACTCACCCTGATCCTCAAGATTCCAACTCAGTAGGAATACTACCTSCTCAATTCCTCCTGGTTTTGCCTATATAACTGAGCCCTAAGTCCATTTGCGGACTTCTCTACTATCTTACCCTGTCTATCATACATTTTACCTTCTACCATTGAGACCTTCCCTGCTGCCTTATCCTCAAGAAACTTGAGACAGTCCAAAGCCAGATGCACGTTCCTCTTGCAGTAGAAACATAGCTGATCTACTTTTCTCTTGAACTTCTTCTTCCTGGGCTGAGGAGGTGGCGATGAAAGAGATCTCACCAAGGTACCGACATCCCCCTGCTGCTCTGATCGAGGAGCTGCGGTACTAACAACCTCCTGCTGCTCTGTCCCAGGAACCGGTTCGGCAGACCCAGATTCAGTAGCCCAAGATTCTAGTCTACCTCTCAAGTCCTCTGTCGCTGGGACGTACTCAGGCGTGTCCAATCTATGAGGTCTCCTCTCGAGTGTCTCTCCTGGCGCTGYCATGGGCTGCTCCTCAATCTCGTCTGATCCATACTTAGGCGTGCCTATCCTCTGGAGTCTGCCCTCGATGGCACCCTCCTCCTTAACCCCCATCTCTCTCTCAAGAGGCTCCTCTATCCTCTGCTCTGGTGAAAACAAACTCACCTCCTCCTGCAGAGTATGCACCGCCTCAWGGAGCACGCCCATGGATCCCTCTGCTGAGCCCTGAGCCGGCTCACTGCTAGATGGTGGCAGCCCCTCCTCTACTGCCAAAGGTATGACTGGGC